CTTCATCTCATTTAATCCCTTCATGGGCCTAGCTCGACCACGTCAAATGGCTGCTCTGACAAACATCAAGTGGTGATCCCTAAGGAAGAAGGAGGGCCGTCCATACTCAGGCCGAACCCTAGCTCACACAGAGAAGAGACCACGCTGTTACCCTCGAGGCCGGCGGCGAAGCCTGAGACAGACGGCAGCCGGGTACCCTCCTCCCCAGTGAGGTCAGTCTGCTGAGGCCGCGGCCACCGCGGAGGAGCAAGCAGAGCAGGTGCCGGAACTACTTTGGAGGAGGAGCCTGAGCTGTCCGCCTGGAGCAGCCCCATCACCACTTCCGGATCCGGCGGAAAGCCCAAGCGGCACTTAAATAGGGGCAGACCTCGGCGCTGTGGCGGGTTCAGATCCAGCTCAAAACAATAAAGACGGTATTACAATAAAGCCAGTCATGCAAACTGTCTAGCCTCCCGATACATATAACAGCTACGTTTACACTGTACCACAGTCTATGAGGTGTGCGATAGCATGATGAAAAAGTTTAAAATATTGTGACAATTACCAAAATATGAGAGACACAAAGTGAGCAGTGAAAAAATCGCGCTGACAGACTCAACTCAACATGAGGTTCCACAAACCTTCAATCTGTAAAAAGCGCAAGGTCTGTGAAGCACAATACAACAAGGTATTCCTGTACCTTCCACCTGGGCTGACAGGATGCTGCCAGGGGCCGGGGGGCATCCCCGGCTGCACCAGACAAAGGGCAGGGTCCTCCCGGCTTCAGACGCACTTATTTACGCTCCACAAGGGCTGACCGCTGCTGGTCTCCGCACAGAACTTTGAATTATTTTTCCTCTCTGTCCCCGCACCTGCCCTCTACCACCTCCAATCAGAAAGTTATCTGAGATTAATACTCCAAAATCTTCTTAGGGCAAATGGCACTGAAAGAAAAAAAAAATCTTTGCTTTTACTAACTGGCACTATAAGCATCAAATAAATCCATACTGGAAAGAACAGACATACTGAGGAATGGTGTATGTGATGAGATGAGAAAGATTAATCCCTGTGTGCTGGCACACATGTGCACGCACACACAGATGACACAATGGGACTTATCACTTCTCTGGAGGTTTGAATTCTGAATAGGAGGCACATCTGGGCAGGTATCAGAGCTCTGAAATCAGCCCTCGACACACAGGTGGTGCTCCAAAGAGGGTCCTCCCTGCCCCCCACACGAGAAAATACCCAACTAAGGAAACCAATGAGAATTAGGGTGGCCTCCGAGTCTCCTTTCGGTGACTAGAGTTGCCCAGAAGCATTACAATCGCAACAGCTGAGTGGTGACAATTTAAATACAAGTCATTGATGAATTATGGCCGGAGAATAAAGGGCGGAACTGTCACTCCTGCTCCAACCAGTTTGTAAACACCTAAAGGCTGGACCTACCATTCTGAGTAGCCATGTGCTGCATTAAAAAAAAAAAAAAAAAAAAAACTGACAGGGAATACAAGGTAAGCAGCTTATTTGTATTTCTTTGGTGCAGAGGAAACAAAGCCTACAGACAAAGCCTTCTTCCAGCTGACAAATATGCCTAGCAGGTGATCAAATTCAACCCAACGCCAAGAACAGCAAGATGGCTTGTGGTCTTGCTGAGCCCGCTGCTTGTGCAGAAGCCACCACACTGGTCAGCAGCCATGACAGGCCCAGGAAGGCCCGAGAACCAGGAGGTTTGGCTGGGCAAGGTGAGCGAGGCATTGCATTCCAGCTGCAGCGTAGGTAAGCCAGCCCTGCCCCCACCCACAGGTGCGGTCTTGTGTACACCTGGGAGGGGGCAACCGCCTCCCAGGCACCCCTTCCACGTCAGCCAGCCCAGTGTCTCCTTTTGTTTCCTTCTTTGTTTATGAGCCTTCCGGATCCAAAGTCTTCAAGAGCAGGGAGCATCAAACCCGGCCGGCTGTCACAAGCCATGTCGAGAACGCTGCTGGCTCTGGAAGGATTTAATCAGTAAACCGGGCCGAGGCGCAGGGGCAGGCTCCAACCTAATCCCTCAAGAGGCAAAGTTTACAGCCAGGCCAGGGGCGAGGCTGCCGGTGTCCTTAAGCTAGGACAACTAGAAGGGACTGGGTCCAGGGACTCCAGGCTGAGCTGACAGGACCCCTTTTTGGACCTAAGGAACAACCCAACAGGGACTCAAGGAAAGCCCGGGCTGCTGGGCATGCCGGGCTCGGGCCGCCCGCCAGGTGGGACTCCAGCCACCATATGCTTCCACCCAGCCCTATTCAGCTGTGGTCTTGGAAGCCTGGTCTTTATTTCTGAAAACAATCCAGTTAATTGAATCAGTGTAGACAGACTATGCAGAGCATTTGGGCAAAAGCGTGTGTTTGGTTTGTTTATCGGTTTCCATCCAGATCAATCACTCTGGGTCTTGTTCCCGAAACCCACACAATTAACTGGATAATCACCAGATGGTTGAGTTGGGCTGTGTTGATGGCTACCACATGGGTGGTATCCATTTCACGGCAGGAGATGACCCAGTAGGAAACATACCTGGACTACCAGCAGCTCAGGGCTAGGCCAGGCACTAGCGCAGAGCCTCAAGGGCTGAAAGGATTTTTTTGTTGTAGTGAACTGCACTCCAACTCACCTTTGTTTCATTTGGGGTAATATTTCTCAATCGGGTACTTGGACAGCACTCTAAAATGTAGACAGATTACATAATGGCCAGGCCACAGGGGGCTCCTATGCTTCCCAGGGCGTGGGCACTGACCCAGCTCAACACGTCTCATGATGGACCATGTCCCAGGTAGCAGCCCCAACTCCTCCTCTGCCCTGGAGGCCACCACCCCATAGACCTACCCTCAGGAGCTCCACCCCCATGCTCACAGGCAGGGCAGAGAGAGACACACACCACCAGAGCCCACCCACCACACAGAAGGGGCGACACTATGGATACCCCCTGTCCCCAAAGCATGGTAGTGGCGGGTGGTGACAAGGGGGTTATGCCACCTCACTGGATACTTCTTCATAGTTCCTCCTACTCTATTTCCTAATGCTGCAGCCCAGCCCTGCCAAGGCAAGTCTTGTTCCGTGGACAGCCACAGTGCCTGCTCGTGGACACCACAGCTGCTCTCCAGAGAGGCCCAGTCAACCAAAAGGTGCCACCCACCTCTCGTGGCAAAGGCTGGGTGAGGGCCTCTGGCCGCTTAAGAAACTAGTCCATGGCTGTGGTCTTTGCTTCCGCTTCCCTCTCCTGCACATCTCTTGAGCAATTGTGGTTAAGTCGAGGGCCTTTAGCCTCCAAAGCCAGCTCCCCCAGACCCCGGCCATCAGCCACACAGCTGGTACCACTGGCTCCTGCCGGGGGGAGCAGGGGCTCGGTCACCCCACAGGGGACCACTGTGCCTCTCAACCATTTTACTCCTCCCCACCCCCCCAGTTCCCTTTCATTTTGAAGCGTGGCAGAAAAAAGCCTCCCTGAGCCAGGTGACAATTCTGAAGCCAGTGGTGGGTGCTGCAGGTCCCCAGCAGGGAACAACTGAGGTCATCTCTCCCCCTGCCCCCCCCAAGCACTCTTTCAGGCGAGTGAATTTTCTGAGGCCCTCCCTCCATCCAATGAAATGCCAAAGGAAACGCCGAGGCCTGTGGCTCGGCTGGCTTCAGACACGCATCAGCCTGAAGCCGGGATTGCCCGACCGAGGCCCCCAGCCGCCTCCCTGGGAAAGGCGGCTTTGCAGATATTGCACCAATGTGCCCTCGGGAGAGAAAAAAATAGGCGTTCAAAGCACGTCGGGCCCAAAATTCAGAATAAAAGTCCTCATGGGCCTTCAACTCTCTTTAGGGTGGGGGAAGCTGGCTCCAGGAGTCCAGCTAAGTCTTCCCCCCTCCCCATTCCTCGGCGCATGTGTCACGGCCTGTGACACACAGCCAAGGGAACATGGATGCTGGGGAAATGTCTCCACACGCTACACGTCTGTGACATGCCGTGGAAGCGACACCCTGTTTCCTGGCTGGGTTTTCCTGGCACAGGTGTGGGCAGGCGTTGGATTCTGCCCCCTCCCACTGTGCTCAGTAAACAGGTTCACACCCCCCCCCGGGGAAGGGGGGGGCTTTGCATTCTGGGGAAGACCGGCCACCTAGCCAAAGAGGATGGGGCACCCCCAGCCAGGCACAGGCCCAAGCTAGAGTCGGTGTTTTTAACAGTTCTTGTTTTCAAACACAAAGCATCCTGCTCACCCCCGCCCCACGACCCCAACACAGCTGTCTTCCTCTCCAAGAAGGCCACCATTTGCAGATTTTGTTTCAGAAACAGATCAATGGTTTCTCCCTTCCTCTCATCCAGCTGACCCAGTCCTAGCCGTGTATTTAAAAACAGTAACAAAATAAAACCACCAGCAACAAAACACAGACGCCGCAGACAATGCAAGCCTGGAGCTCTAGAAAGCAGCTTCCCCTATGGGCCTGGACCACGGTTGGAGGTGGGGATTAAAGTCCTGGACCCCCACTCTCCCCCTCCGGCTCCAACCTCCCCAACGTGAAGAGCACCCAGTTTTGCCCGCCAGCATGGGCAGGAAAAAGGATTTAAAAAAAAAAAAAAAAAAAACACTAAAGAAAGGAACTGGCTTCTGCAAATTCTTTGGGTTTTAAGGATTATTTTTTTCTCGCATGGTTGTGTTTTCTTTGCCCCTTCAGCTCACATCCAGATGGGCCAAGGGCTTTCAGAAAGGGAACCCCCGCCTCCAACGGGGCCCAGCCCGCGTCTACACAGCCCCATCCACCAGAAACACAAGCCTGGGTGCACAACGTCCCGAATACCCGGCCTGGGTTAGGGCCCAAATCCGCTCCAGGATTCCAGGGGTCTCCCCGGGGCCCGGCCGGCGGGTCCGAGCTTCAGATTCCAAAATCTGGGGGGCGTCCCCACCCGCAGGCCCGGGCCCAAGTTCAGCGCAGGGGGCAGTCAGAGGGGGCGCCCTTCGGCCGCGGGGAGCGGGGGGGTGCAGCCCGCCGCCGGAGCGACTCACCGTGGCGGACGCCAGGCTGTTGTCGGCCAGTGTTAGGTGGTGCGGCTCCCAGCGCCTCAAGAATTTCGAGGTGAGGATCTTGCTGAGAAAGGTCCGCGGGTGCCGGATGACACAGACCTGGATGTCGCCCTCCTGCAGCAGTTTGTACCTCATCCCGTTGCAGAGCAGCAGGGCCCGGCGGCAGGGCACGGCGCCCATCTTCGTGCCCTCGGGGGCCGACATGTCTCCCCCCAGCAGCGGCTTGGTCTCTTCGATCTGCCGGGGGTCGCCGCCGCCGCCCGAGCTGCTGGTCAGATCCATGGCCCGGACCGGGAAAGGGGGCGGGGGGCGGGGAAAGGGGGCTGTCCTGGGCGTCTGGGGCGGCGGGGCCCCCGGATCTGGCAGCCCGCACCCCCCCACCCCCCGGGAAGGTGGGGGGGTGTGGGACTGGGAGCGCCCCCGCAGGAGAGGCTCCCCGCGGGCCGGTGGGGCGGCGCGGCCGGACGGCCGGGCGGCGCTTCGTGCGGGAATCCCGGCTTCCTCCTAGCTGGTCGGGTGCATGCTCGCGGCAGTGGACCGGGCTCGGCTGGAGGAACGGACGGACGGAGGGAGGGACGGACGGACGCAGGGAGGAGGAAGAGGCCGGGGGAGGGGGCCGCGGGGAGGCGGACGGAGAGAGGCGGGAGGCGCGGGCGTGTCTCCGTGCGGCCGCCGCGCGCCCGCCGCCGGCTCGTGTGTACAGTACGTGTGTCTGTGCGTCCGTCCGGCGCGAGTGTGTGTCGGGCGGGGGCCGCGGCGGGGGGCGGGGGCCGGCTCGCTTGAGAGATTGCAGAAGCCGCTCGGCCGCGCCGCG